GCGTGGGTTGGCGGAGGAAACCCTGTCCTGCATCTCGAGCCAAGTATGCCAAAAAGCTTGCCTTCTTGCGGCGGACCAAATGATGACTTTTCTTTTTTTTGTGTTTTTCCTTCGTGCCTTTTTGCGTCTGCTGCGGTTGTCTGGTTCCCCCCTGCTGGGCGCCGGATCGGCTGCGAGCTGTAGCACCTCCGCTATGGGCAGCTCCCCGTCTGCGTTTGGCAGCGCGGGCATCGTCCAAACGCCAACGACGGTGCTGCACGTCGCGCGCTGGATTGCGATTGCCAAGGTTCCCCACCACCGCCGCGCCCAGCCTTGCGCGGCCGCTCCTCGCAACGCAGCCGGAGCGCGGCGCGCCCGCAGGGCGACAAGGCGTTGCACCAGGCGCTGAAAGCCGTCATTGAGGCGTCCGCCTATTTCGTCCGCCAGCACGCACAAGCGGTGGGGGCCGTTTCGGGCCAGCTCGGGGTAGCGTGCATGTTTACGGCAACTTGCCGTTGCGAGTGCCACCCCATCTCGCTCGGGCGCTCCAGCGGCAGGGCTGCCATTGCGTTGGATGGGTGACACCAAGGTGGCATCGAAGCAGAGGGCTTGGCAGCAACGGGAGCCGAGCCAGTAATCGACGATCCTCTGCAAGGCGGTCGCCGGCAAACGAGCGGATATTCTGGTGACCGATGGGGACGCCCAAGGCGACGGAGCCTTGTTCAGCAGGCGGTTTGTCACCGTGCCACACACCGAGATCGCTTATGCCCGGCGGGGCTGGACCACCTCGGGCATTGTAGACACGAGTCTTGCCCAGGTTCGCCGCAACTCCGGCTTCGCGTTCGATGATGCTTGTCACCGTGTCCAACCTGCCACAGGCACGGGAGGGCGTCGTGACGACATAGATGTCATCCAGGAACGCCGCCAAGAATTCCCCTGCTTGGAGCTCCTGCGCTGCTGCAACAAATGCATCATCTTGGCCGACTGCAAACAATGCTGGGGCGAGGGAATCGCCCTGTTCGACGTCTTCGGCCTGCGCAATTTCGTGGCAGCATCCGGCGTCATCCCACCAGAGTAATGTGGAGATGCGCGCATAGAGCGATCGGACGAAGGGCAGGAGTTGAGGGGCGACTTGCTTGAGCTTGCCAAGGATGGCTGCCCGGCTAACGCTGTCGTAAGCACTACGGCCGTCAAGCGAGACCACGGTGGCCGCGGGGTCAAGCTCTGTACCAGCCCGGAGCATGGCCGCAAGGCTGTCGGTCCCTGCTCGAGTGCTCAGAGCGAACTGGAAGGGTCGCGTGGTTTCATCAAACACATGGGCGAAGGCTTGCGCGAGCGTCCGCGAAACCAGCCTGCGGAAGACATCCCCCGTGGCTATGCCCCGCACGCCACCTGCGGAATTGCGCAGCGCTGTGAGCCGCGACATGGAAAGCGCATTGAACACATCGGTCGGCACATCAGCCCGTGCCAAGCAGTTGACGGCAAACGCCAAGAACTCAAGAGCTGCAGGGTCGTCTAGGAGCAGCTTGTAGTGGTCGACTGTTGCTCCCGACAGGCCAGGTGCCGACCCTCGCTTGCCGCTTGCCGCACCGAGAGGGCGACTGCCTCTACCGGCTCATGGTCCAGCACTTCTGCGGGGATCTCGCGGCGCCGAAGCGGCGGCCTTCGCGAGGGGTCCGACAACGCCTGCAGAATGTCGGCGTTGCCGGGGGCCAACGTTGCTGCTGTGAGGGCTTGCCGCGCTCGGGAAAGCTGGCCCTGCCGCACCCTTTCACAGGCTTCTTCGAGCACGGCTTCATCAGCGCGGCGCGCAGAGCCGTGTCCGCCTCCGACGGTCGCTCCTGCACGAGCTTCCCTCAACAGTTGTTCCCACTGGCCGGACTCGAAGAGTTCAACGCGCCGCAGGAGGGTGGAGGGCAGCGTGCCAGGAGCAAAGCCGTCTTGCGGTCTTGCCGGTGGCTTCATCGCGCCATATCGCGCCGCCGCATGGCAACTTGCAAGTCCGCCAAGCAGCGGGTAAAGCACCTCCGCACGGAAGCTGTCAAGAAACAGGGCACGGAGCGGAGAGCGGGGCGCTCGCGAAATTCCGCTGAGAGGTCGATCGTGGCCAACCAGGCTAACGCCGCACACGGCCACGCAGGGGACGGGCTGCCTTTTGCCGGCGCCTCGTCCGCGGCACCTGCTTCCAAGGGCTCAGCCTCGCTGTCCGCCCTTTCAACTGGGGGTGGTGCGCTGGGCGCTGGCTCAGCGCGGTCCTGCGCAACGCCCCATCCTCGTGCTCGGGGATGTTTTCGGGGAGTGGGTGCGCTTCGGCTGCCGATACGTCCCCATCCATGACTGTCAGGCGATGGCAAGTGGGCTGGGCTGCCGCAGCTGACGGCGCCTCGACGCGGCGGAACTCGTCTGAGAGGCGGTCTCGGCCCGCCGCGAGCTGTTGCCCGCCATACACCGTGAGGCATGCCTCCTGACCCGCTGCGCTGATGTAACCATCAACATGCGCGAGGTGGCGCACCACCCAACCAAGGTGCACGAGTGTGGACGGCGGAAGCACGGCTGCCTCTGCAAGGGCGGCTGCTGGCAAAGGCTCGGCGCGATGGCTAAAGGCTGCGATCAGTCCGTGAGCGTGGTCGCTGTGGGGGGGCCGCAACGGTGAGCGCGCGGCGAGTTTCCTCCCATTGCGGGGCCCGTGGCTCCGCGCGCCATTGAGCCGTGGCTCCGCGCGCCATTGAGCGAGCGCACGGTCTGAGAGCGTCCCGAGAGCGGCTGAATTGGTAGCCGACTGGACGCGATCTGAGGGTGGACCCCGGTCGTACCACATCCCCCTTGGCGGCTCCTCCCCTCGCTGGTCGGCAACTCGCGCGTGCGGGTCACTGCAGCCTCAGATCCCACTTGCTTGTGCGAGCGGCCAAGGTGGCGCGCGCTAGCGCTGATCTTAGGGACAACAGGATGAACAGACACGACTGCAGCAGAAGCAATGCATCCAGACAGCCAGAGGCAAGTGAAAAAGCGCTCACGTTCCACAGCCTTGCATGCTCCTTTTTTTGCACACTTCAACGGCTCCGACGCTTTGCTAGCCTAGCTAGCTTCGTTGGGAGCAAACCCACCTGAGCAATGGCTCAGAGTGCCGCAATGAAACAACATGCCTGTCCGCACTGAGCTGCTGACCATTTCGGCACAAAGCTTCAGTTCTGTGGCCATGTTAACATCTGCTTCAACCACCTGGCACAGCACCAATCAAGTACCTCCAGAATGTTCTCGAAACTCTAGACTCTACACGAACAGAAGGTCGAAACGTACTACTTCACCAACATCGACAGAAATCCCAGAGACCACCCATCATCATTCAAGAGTGACCTGCAGGACAGCACATACGTTCCAGGCAGCACCTCTGGGTTGCGATCACCATAATGAAGAATCTCTTCATACTCTTTCAACGCCATCTTGTGCCTTGCACTCATGCAACAACGCTCTAAATTCTTTTGCGCTCAGCCAACTCACTCTGCCGCTGCAGGAAGGACCCTGCCCTGACGCTGTTCAAGTCTGCTCAATTCTCGCACGACCATGTGAAGCTGACATGCACATTGAGCTGGGCCCCATGCTCCTCAATGTTGTCATCCACGGCGAGTCCTTCAGACAGATCGACGCTTTCAGGCCGTTAGTCATTAGAGAGCAAAGCTATTCGATTTGCCGCCTTGCTGTTGGCAAACCTGTGCCGCCGTATAAGACTAGTGCCTGCTGATCAAGGGCCTACCATGCTAATTCTGAGTCGAGGCTTCGTCTATTTGCTTCGTGACTTGAGCCTAGCGCAGCGCATCAGATAATTAGGTCCTATCAATTTTGTCCGAAGACGCGCACGATTCAGCTTCCCGATGAGATACCTTGGGCATGCCACACAATGCTGGGCCCAAAAGAAATTTTAAGACATCTGCTGCATCCTCTCGGGAAGACACGTGCTGGCGTGATCCTTCTCAACCTTCTCCGCTGTTTTGCCGTCCTCAGAAGCATCCGCAGGGCGCAGGCCTTCCAAAGGGTTCACGATGCTTGGACTGGATCCCGAGGTTTCCGCAGGCTGGTAGCTGTCCAGGAATATCCCGTAGTACTTGACCGACTTGCGAGCAAGCTCATTGCACCTAGCCAGATTGATTTCTTTGAATTTGGAACAGGGATGTGCAGCCTAGCAAATTATGCGGGGCCTTGCTGCTTTCTTCAGATCCACTGTCGCCTCCTCCTAGTCATTGTGACTGACACAGACACACCAAGCTCCAGAGGCTTTAGATGAACTGCGTTGGCCGGAAACAGCCACATCGTGGCATTCTAGCGCTACTGGCTTTCCTGGGAAGTCATAGGAGACGTCACTGCCCTGATTGTTCTGATGGCTGTGGGGACTGCAGGCTCAACTCAGAATCTTGCGAATCTTGTGGCTGGCTGTCCTCATCATCATCGTCGAGGGAATTGAGAGCTCGACTACTGGGCCTAGACACGCTGTTCACAAGAACAGGCGCTCGTCATCTCTACACCTCGCACAGAGCCTTTCAACTACAATACTGGCATGCTGTCTACAGCCGATTCACACTCTAGAATGACGAGGCCATTTGAGGGGCGAGCATCTTGGCCTTACCTTTGAGCTCGAAAAGCTCCTGGCAGCACAGACAATTTCTAATGAGGGTTTCCCTTGATGGTCGTACCAAATAACAATATATTATCCCTTTCATAGACTACCATTGCCAAAGGAAAGGGATTATCTTGCTCTGTCTTGGTGACTTTAGCAACCCCCACCTCGAACGCCACTCAAATGAGCTTAGTTGTTGCATGCAGTCCTGGTAAATTTCAGCAGATGTGAAGGACAGCTGACGCCAGAACCTTGATGTGGAAAAGCTGAATAGAGGGGACTTGCTTGGTGTATGTGCTGTCCTTCTGAAATTCAGCAAGCTTCAGCTTACATCTGTCATGTGGCTCCAAAAGAATCACCAGCTCAATGATCATGCTGAGTCATGAAACGCCACGTAGACCTTCGGGCTAAGCTGTTCAAGCAGCGGAGTCAAGAGCGCCGCCTCGGCAACTATCCAATCTGCCAACGCAACCAATCCAGCTGTCTTGAACAACATGACAAGCATGCAGTGTGACTGCTGCGGGTTACTTGTAGCAAGGATAGCAACGCCTCACAGGGTTTTGTCTGTCGGCACTGCCTGGCTGGTAAGCTGCTATGGTGCACTCTACGCGTCAGCATGACTTGGACAGCGCTTCTAGTTTCTGCACTTTGTCCGGGATGGTCTTTCTGTTAGTCAAATTATCGTGTCGCCTCCCAAGTCTGATACTCTGATACTATGCCTGCGGCATTACACTGAGCTTCAGCTTCGACTCGTACCTGCAAAATCTTTGCGGAGAACTCTTCAGGCTTACATGGCCAAGCTGAGGCTGTACAGCGCTCATCCTCTCAGTGGTGATAGAGGATTACGGAGATCTACCTGCAAAGCTGGCTCCAAGAAGAACACAAGCGGGAAACAATGGTCAAGCACTGACTCTCATCAAAATGTGCTCAGCGAGAATACCTATTGTGAAGGCCGCCTTCGTTTCAGCGAGGGCGCGACGCTGCGTCTCCTCCAGGGGATGCAGTGTGCGTTCAAGCAATTTCCTCAACCCTTGCCATCAGTGGCTGCGGCGAGAGACGTTGGTTGATTCACAAGTATGTGATTTGACAAGCTGATGGCTGATGGCTTATGTTGTTGTGATCGACCAGAAATGCAGAGGTTCGGGGCGAGTTTCAGATTGCCCGGATGGTCCGTCGCCTTTCGGCACCGAGTTCTCGCAGTTTCTCCCCAATTTATCCATGCTACCTGGTCAAGAGTCTCAGGAACTTAGAGGAGCCAGGTGGGCTCTACGAAACGAAAAGAAAAAGACACCCATAAGCGGCATAACCTGCCTAACTGTCGTTCTGCATCCCAAGGCGCAAGTTGCAGGCGTTTGCGTAATGTTTCGAAAAAACAGAATCCGAGACAAGTCACCGCATGGCTGGTCGTGTCTTGTGCGGCGTCCAGTTGCCAGGACGATCCATCGTAGCTTAAGCTGTCTGTTGGTTAATGAACGAAACCGTAATTCTCAAGAACCCCGAGTCTACAACCGTCACGCAATTCATAATCCGAGCCCAACAATAACAAAGCGTAACAAAAACCACCTAGATCTAAACTGAAAGCTTTGTGGGCCAGTTTGGGGGTCAAAGAATACTTTACAGGCACAGGCATGCTAGGATTGAAACCTTCTAGTCCTAGACTCGAAGAAAAAATGCTGCCCCTGAAAAAACCGTGGGAGATTGGGTTAAGGTGGTTTAAGGTGCAGTCTGATTTCGGAAAGGTCTGAGGGGTTTCTCCATTTGGAATCATTAGTTCTTGTTCTGTGGAACCCGATGTGTTAAAGCCTGTTATTCTACTGGGGGCCCTTATGAAGAGCTCGGATTACATCAAACACATAATGGATCATCAGGGAGCTGATACAGCTCTGGATCAAACACTGGCCACAATGTAAGGATGAATATCAGCCAAGGCAGACGCAGGAAAGTCATAAATCTGTGGCATACCGCATTTCTCACCAGCCATTACAAAGTCGCTTGTGAGAGCCTTCAAGTAAGAATTGTGAGCTTGTGAACTATGGACCCCGTTTCCCCAACCCAGCCCAAACGTTGGGCATCCCCACAAAAGGTGCCACATGTGCCGCATACGGCTTTTTACCTTTTCTTATGCTAACCGCACACACCTTAAGGAGACAAACACCAACCCAGCCCTTCATTCTAAAGTCGGTTCGGTCACTGAAGACGGCACTCCACCTGGCCAACCGTTGGAAAGAACTTACAGAGCTTTGCCTTGGTGAGCACTGAGCGAACCCAAAACAAGTTGAACAAAACGTGACAAAATGCGCAGGCCCCAGTTGTTGGCCTATACGATCATACATGATAACAGGGTCTAAGTTCAAAAAGAGCAGCCCTGTTCATGGAATCTAAGACTTGCATCTCTGGGAGCAGGAGGTCCAGATGTCACAGCCAAGATGTCGTGCTCCAAGTCAGCCAGGTCCGCATTGAAAGGAGTAGGGATGGCTCACAACTAGTCGGTCGGCCCTTACGATCTGTGTAGGTCTTGAAGCTAAAACTAAGTAACCAAGATGAACCCAAAAAAGTCCTGGCCACAATAAGCCTAGTAATCCAGACAACCAGGTGAAGTCCCAACCAGGTGAAGTCCTGCATCTTGCATCCTTACTTATGTAATCCTCCTCTGTAGTTTACTTCCGGCAAATCAGGAAAACTGCCATGTCAGCTACGCCGAGAATCAAACGGAAAAGGCAACGGACAATAAAACGGAATCTGGGGTTATATAGGGGTTCGCAGGGATCTTATGTAACCCCAGTCACACGCATCCCTTATCCCGCTCCTCTTCTTGTCCAAGCTCGTCCCGTCGCTGGGTAACGGCTCCAAGAAGACTGGTGGGTGCTTGGATTTGCATCCTAACATAAGCCAAACGATAAGCGTATCAAAACTTGACAAGAAGTGATATTTGCTGTGGACCAGGGTCTAATATCAATACGAGTCAGTCATAACAAAAGGAGCAGCACGAGGGGAAACAACAATGTCAAAATCAAAATCAGAACATTCTACTTGAAGGTTAAACTTTCCAACAAGAACAAAACATACTTCCGCAGAAGACACAAGCCCCATGTCAGAGTTGCACACAGCCCTGTCTCGAGCTGAATGTCCAATGCTGCTTCCCAAAAACCTTCAGCATGCTTATAATGACTTGCAGTTGCTGAGTTGCACATTGCGAAGCAAAAATCACAGCCATGTGATCTTGGCACGATGCCCACTGGACTTCCAGATGGTCAACTGCCTACCTGACCTAGATGGTGGGCAGGAATGTAGACTTGATTTCAGGTCTGGCGTGTTAAGGCTTGCGCATCATGTGCTTACAGCTTTATCCCTGCCCTGAGACATAAGTGCAAACGCAAGGGCTCCCACAATGAAGATGAAAGCAATCTTTGAACTGTTGAGTTTGTGAAAGGAAGCCTAAGAGCGCTTGCGTTACGGATGGACATCTGGACTGTACGCTCAGGTGCAAATGATGCCAAAACTGTCAGGTGCACTCCAGACAGTCCCGTAGCACTCCGTAGCTGCCAGGCAGTTCAGCCTTGCAGCGCAATCAAATACGTTCAAGATGCCATCTCGACGTAACTCCCTTCTCGGAAGCCAAGAACGACTTTGCTGAAAAAAGAAAGGCTATTCTTGACCAAGCAGCTTTGCAGAGTTGTTGCTTTTTGAGCAGTTTTCACTTACCAGCGGCAAACATCTTTGCCGGCGCAGTTTAGGGACGAAGCGACGCAGTCATCAGAGGACCTGCAAAGGGCGACTATCCTCCAGACGGCATGCGTGTTGTTGGCGTTCCATAAAAGGTTAAAGCCGGGCGTATATGCCTGCCCTTCTTTGACTTCGCCAAGGCCTAGGATCCCACCTCTGCCCATCCCCCCAACCCGAACAAACCGAACCCTGCATCGCATCTGGGAGTCTGCTCTGTGATCAACCGCGAGACTGGTCGCAAGCGATCACGCAGCCTCCAAGTTTGGAACGCCACTGTCTGCCATCGACACCCATCCTTGGATGATGCACGCAGCCTACAGCCTCCGAGACTCACAAAAAGAAGTCTCACACTGCAAAATAAGAAAGCCAACTGCCAACGACAGTCCACAGGCGTCTTTCCCAATGGCCAAGAGTCCGACTGCGCTGGCACCCTGAAGTTTTGCTTTCAGTCGGGTGACCTTGCGAACCAAAGCATGCCAATACAAGCGGCAAACCAAAGAGGTAGTTGTAACCATGTGCGAAATACACACCATGACCACGAGCAGTTTGGGGCAGAGAGGGGTTTCTTCTCCTAACCTGATTTGGGAGGAGGGAGGGGTCTAGTCTCCGAACCCGATTAGGGCATCCCAGCACAGACAACCAATCAATTGAAGCACATCAAAGTACCGAGAAGCAATGGGAATGTATTTCCCAACACTGTCCTGAATTATGTCTTGCTGTTCCTACATGCCTGTCATGGTGCTAAATAATATACCCTAAACCCTATATAACCCATTATAGTAGTTTCCATTTCATTTTCCATTATCCCAATATAACCCCAATATACCCCTAATATTACCCCATACTATATACCATTATCTCAAACCCAACAGCTCTGAGCTTCTGGCTGCAAGCGGTGTCCCCTCTTTCACGCGCTGCCAGGCGACGACCTCTGACATCAACGATGCCCTAAACTCCTCAGCCCTAAGCCCTTGAAGACGCTCTACAGTCTACTCAAATGCCTGAACATAACCCAGTAAAGTAGTTTCCATGTTCTTTTCCATTATCCTTGTACAACCCCTATAAAACCCTATATACCCCTAAATCACCCCCTACCATCCCGGAAGAGTAGTTTCCATTCAAGAGCGCACCGAAGCCGCTTGCCTCGAGGATCTCGCCCTCTAACAGCTGTCGGACGCCCTGTTCGCCCTCCAGGTCCTCGGCAAAGTCTGTGAGCCGAGATGGTCGGATGACCTCCAAGGGCGGCAAAATGCGGCAAATACTCAAAGCCTTCCCCTATGCAAAGTCAGAGCACTGGCACCCTGAGATGCCAAAGCTGAGGACTTGTGTAGGGACATGGGGAGGCCCAGCCTTGAAGAGGTTTCCCCCCGGCATGAGGAAGGTGATCCTGATGTCCATGCCGGAAATCACGCAGCGCGCAGACTGCATTTAGCTGGATGAGGTGTTTGTGGATGTGTTCTGGGGGATCAGCAGCGGTTGGAGCTTTGCAGCTGCATGTTAGCTGGATGTATAAAACCGGACCCTCCCACGGTACCCAATCTGCTAGTGTCTAAAGTCCTACCATGCCCAACCATTTCTAAAATATCTAACCTATGGACCACCTATGGACCTAGACTAGCAATAAGCAACCCTACCTTCCGTGGCGACAGCTCAAAACCTACAAAAACATGGCCATTCAAGGGAGGATGCAACTGCCGTCCCAGAGCGACAGGCGCCTGG